GAGTTTGGGGAGATGGTAGCAGTGTGTGTGTGTGTGTGTGCGCGCGTGCGCGCACGCACGCACACGCACACGCGTGTGTGCAAGAAGCAGAACAAAGAACTGTATGAGAAATACATTACACACACTATCACACATCATCTGCTGGGGATGCAGTGTGTTGGGAAGGTGTCTCACTGCAGTTCCAGAGGCGTGAGTGCTGCTTTGGACTTGTGTAAAAGTCTGAACGCAGTTGATTCAGGTATACGTCAATACACAATCATTCAGACCAGAGAATCAGAGGTGTCTGGACGTGATCTGAGCCACGCTGCTCCCTTGCAGCTTTAGCAAATCTGCCTTAATCATGCTAGGCCTATGAACTGGTATACTTGGGGTGATTTTTTATATATTTATGCTCATTTTTATGCCATCTATTACTAATAAATGCAGACACACCAGACAGCTCAACATCAGGGTCTTAGCCAGAGGTCTACAACACACAGCTGGTGTGCGCGGCCCCTGCTGTGTTAAAGGAAGTACCGTCTTGCACCCATTAGTAAGCTTTCACTAGAAGTAGCCCATCAACACACAGACACATGAATAAGGGATTAAGTAGAGTTGCACTGGAGGATTTCTACCAAACTCAAATGTTTAAATCCCTTGCTAGAAGACAGGGAACAGAACCTAAAATGCTAATGCCCACAAGCATCTGCTTCTTTCCAGCCTTGTGCAAGCTAGGATGGTTATGGAGGAAACCTAAGAAATAAGGGCGGTTTAAAGAGATTTTGCTAGGCTGAACGTTTTTGTCGATGTTTTGAAACACTGCCTTAGGTTAATAATATGGGCAGGATTAAAGAAAGTAAGATTCAAAGGTTGATGTGCAGGTTAATACATTTGGGCCAGGTGTGTCAGATCAGTACACCTGAAATCAGACTCTTAAGCTGTAGTCTATGTAAAAGAAACCTGATTTTCACACACACACCAATGTAACTTAATTCAGTGTCAGATCTGCCCTCTTTTGTCAGGAGCCTAACTTTATGCAGCCATCTTAAAACATTTGGGGGCCTGGAAAGGAAATATCCAAAACAAATATTTAATAGGAGGGAGAGGCTTGGGAAGAACAAATGCAAAAATAGACCAACAAGTCATTATGGGCAGCAAGTTAGAGCCGACTTTGCAACAAGATAGGGCAACATGTCTGTATCCAGCAGTGGCAATGTGCAAGTTTAAGGTATTTTCTGGGTTGCAGGGGTCATGAGCTTTGGTGTAAGACTGAATCTGCAAGCATGGATGTTCAGGAGTAACTACATCCATTGTCAATGGAACTGCTCATGCATGTGAAATAAATTATGTGTTTAAGTATCTGCAGGATCAGGACTTAACTTGTATTCTTCTTTGTTGTTTCTGACACTGTAGTACACAGAGGTCCCAGTCAATTCCTGTTGCATGAAGCGACAGAAGGTGCTTAAATTATGAAAGGCCTAATTAGGAAAGGCAGAAGGAGCCAGAAAAGTAAAAGGAGTTACAATGGGTCACTAAAAGGAGTTGTCAAATTAGATGAGCATCTGACCTCACTGCAAGATTCTGTGTTTCAAGGAATGGGCAAAGGTTAGGTTCAGTTCTTAATGTATCTAAATTGTTTTTCTACCCTTAGTTATATATAAAGTACGTTAACATAACATAGGGAGCAGCTGGAAGTCATTGTGAAAAAAAACATGTTCTGAAAATATTTTCATCAATTTTAATTGCGTTCATTTCAGGTATGTTCACACCTCTCTTGCCGTCACTTCCAGCAAATATTTGTGAGATCAAATTTTGGTCCCACTGATATTTGTATATAGTGAATTTTCAGCTTACGTGCTTTAGTTTTCACAGAATGAAAATTTAAAGTTTACCTTTCAAGGGTCATATACACTTTATTTTAAAAGCAACCAAGGATGGTAACAAACAACATCTACCACAGTTTATATAAATTATAGTAGATGCTGTTTATATACATACATACATGCATGCATACCTACCTACCTACAAACTTACAACTTGCAACTCAGAGTTTTAAAAGGAGTTAGCTGAGCAACGCTCTGGACAATAGACATTAGCTTAAATAACTCTTGAAAACCTAAAAATTCTTTATGACTGAACTAATACCAATAATCTACCAATATTTGGATAGTGTAAATAGGATAACTGTGTTTACAGATCAAGTTATACTGGCATCAGCCTTTGCAAAAATAATGGCCAGGCTGGTATGAGAGAAATAAAAGTAATGCCACTGACTGTGGTTTCATGGAAAATACATCTTGCCAAACAAAGGGTAAAACCATAAAACTATAGATCTTGTGATAAAGGTTGTGTTGTGCTGACATACTATAATCTGATTATACTTTGTGTTTGATTTAGCAACATATGAAATTCTGAGAAAAAAAAAACAACCTAGTACATACCACAGATGAATAAAAAAACTGCCTGATAGATCTCAAGCATGCTTGTTCATAGGGAATTGAATTATCTGTGAATGGTGTCCCTCACAAAGTAGTTCTCAGCACTAATCAACATTTTTATCAAGCTCGATCTCTTAGTGAAGTCAAGCAATCCATTTTTTTTTCCATACGGTCTGATGTAATGTCAGAAATTTAGGGAAAAAATAGGTCATTACTCCAGGACAAGTGACCGTTCTGTGGAAAACAGTAATTTTGAAAAAATGCATGGGTCAAAAACCAAATGAACATGAACGTCCATTGCAATACTGTCTCGCAGCGATTTATATGATCCTTGGACATGTTGGAGTAGTACTGGTCGTTAGCAATGACACTTCTCAATGACTTGATCCAGTTTCAGTGTCTACACTTTTGGAAAACAACAGAGGGTTGAGAGAAGAGCTACAAAAAAAAGAGAAAATAAGAGCCTCAACCAATTTAGCTTAGCGGAGGTAAAACAATGATTTGAACACCACCTATGAGTAGCGGCATAGTGAGAAAATACCTGCTGCTAGAAGGCTTTTTAATGTGAATGGTTGCAATGGCTGAAACTAAACAAACTCAAATAATAAATAAGATAGAAATTAAGACTGTAGGCAACTAGCCTTACTTAAAGAAGTGGTAAATATATGATTTTTCTGAGACTTTAAATGCTTAACGGATGTCTGTTTCTAAAAGATACTGTCTTGTTCAGCCACCAGTCACTGGGATTATGTGTGTTATTATTTATTTAATAGGGAATTACCTCTTGTATAAGAATTAACTTATCTGGTTTATGTAATATATTGGGTTAAATGATGAGAACAGTTCCAGATGGCTGGGCATGACTGGGCAGCCCCTGCCAGCTTGTTTCATATGCAGCCTCAATCACAACTGGGAACTGCCCTGAAGACTGCATTGTAGTTTAAGGTAGGGGTGTCAAATTCATCCAGGCGCATGGGGTGGATGAGTGGTGCAGGGCTGGTCCATAGGCTCAATGAATGGTGTGTGTTTGGCCCACTGGCTGGATTGGATCCATAGACCTGCTGTGTGCCCGCCCACCACCCTTCCCCCCAACTCCCGCCGCAGTTCATGCCAGATCCAGCACATTGCACCTGCCCTGGCCAGTCCAGGACACATGCTGGCCGCTGGGGGCCATGTGCAATGCGAGTCCTGGGCCTGCCAGGGCAGGTGCAATGTGCAGGGCATGACCTGGGCCCTGTGCTCATCACGTGTAGTGTGTGGGCCAACTCAGGACCTAGGGGCAGCATTGGGAGCCAGATGATGGGGCTCTGTGGGCTGGATCTGGTATCTTTGACCCCCCTGGTTTAAAGTAGAGGATAATCAAAGAGAGAGGAGAGTCATCCTATGTTCTTCCTATCACCTGAAATGACAAAGCTCTCTCTTTACTGAGGAAAGCTGCTGAGTTTGGTTTCACACATGGTTGTTCTGCAGATCCTCCGAACTTCGGCCATCTCGCTAGTGGAAGTCAGCAGCAGGCCGCCTTCCTTCCTCCTCTCCTTACAGGCTGGCTGGGCTCCTTTCACAGGAGTGGGCAGGGGCAGAATATTTCTCCTATCCCTCTCCCACATCAAAACCAGACTGACTGAACAGAAGTGACCCTCTCCTGTGGCCAGGCAGTTTCTAGTTTTGTATGTCCCCACCTCTCCTGGCTGCAGAGTACAGAAGACTGAGGTCTAACAGGATTATAATAAATGCTGACGTCTCCTTAGCAAACCAGAGTCTATAATTTATTATAACTAGAGGTAGCATAGGTAAGAGGGCTAATTATCCAGAATACACAGGGGGTTAATTGCATACAATTTGAGCAGGTTTTAGTTAATTGGAAGAAGGAAATTATGCAGTCCCTTCGATCCTCTCATTCTGCCTTTCTGTGCACAAGTCCTCACTTACAAGGCCAGCAAGTTTGTCTTCCAGGAAAGTGTAGGTCTGGGACTGTTCAAATCCTACATTACAGGGCAGGGAAGCATTTGGATGGGCATCCACTCACTGCACTTTTCTCCACACCTGCTCCTTGTGGTACCCACTTCCCTTGCTTCACCCACTTACCTGGCCTCTCCCTCCCCATTCACCCTCCACCTTTTGTGTGTGTTATGGGCCTTACCAGTGCCCTTACTTATATCTGTACTGGTATGAAAGTGCGTGTCTGCAAAGATGATGTAAGCAGCAGATTCTGATGGATCAATCCTTATTGCTGTGGAAGCTGGGAAGACCATTTCACTGGACCACTGAATTCTCCCTCTTTGCTGTGATGCCTTGTGCTTATTTGTCAGAGGACATTTGGATAGGAATATCTGTCATGCAGCAAAATGCATAACATGAGAAGACCATGGAAGCATAGACAAGTCCATCTTAAACTTTTTGGGGATCTGGCTCTTACGTGGCCATATCTTGACCGTGGAGTCTGTACAACCTGCCAAGGTGTCCTAGAAACCAATCATGGACCGTAATGTTTGTTTAAAAGCTTTAAAATATTTTGGAAGCCATTAATTTCCACGCTGCTGCTGTTTAAAATGACTTTTATTTATAAAATAGCCTTATTTCATTTACATATAGTACAGAAAGTCTGCCAGAGGCTGCTTCAGGGGCAATGGGGCATGGCTGGACATTTGATTCTATGAGTCAATGATCCTCATTCTCCGCTCCCTGCGCCCCCCTTGTACGCTCTGAATCTGCAGTCCCCAAAGTTTCTAATTCTTACATTTACACTTCTCGATAGCAAACACAGTGCGGATGGGGCCGCTGCGGCTCTTGAATGTGTGAGTGTTGTACTGATCAGGCACACAGCGACTGGAGGTGCCTTCAGCCCAAACCAGGCACTTCTCTCCACTGTGTGAATCCCTGCAGTTGAAAAAACAAAAATGTTGACTACCCAGAGAGGCAGAAGATGGACCACTCTCATCCGCCTTAGGTTTATAGCTCCTATCCTGTTTACATGACAAAGCTGACATGATCTGGTCTCTGCAATTTAACTTGGTTCACAGCCCATGGTTAACTTATTATTACATTGGTAATATCTAATAACAATACCCAGCTCTCATGGAGGGCTTTCCAGCAGTATATTTCAAAGCACTTTACAAAAAAAGCATTATTTTACCTTTATTACCAATGTGGAAACAGAGGAATAGGAAGGCAAAGTGATTTGCCCAAAATCATCCAAGAGGCAGGAGGAGAAGGTAGATCATCTAGGCTCCAGGCCAGTGCTCTGCCCAAGTGCCTAATCATGGACCAGGATCCTAGCGGGCTAGGCCTGGACAAAAAGATGGTCTTTGTTCCAAACAGCTCATAGTTTTATGCATGTAATGAACAGTATAAGGATGACGACTGAATCCAGAATTGGGAAGGATGTCCTTGGAGTGTCTGAAAACCTATGTTCTGTTCTTTGCTTTATCACAGGTTCCCTCTGTGACCATTGGTAAGCCACTTAATTTATAGGGGACTATTCATTTATGTATTATTATATCTGCTTCCATTTATACCTACCAAAATTCTCCAGGCTCAGCACAAAGCTCAAATACAAACCACAACCTTATTGTCAACAGGCAATTAGAGATTCAGTCCTTCCCAGCTCCAAACTAGTTCTGACCACCCTAGACTTTAAAGACAAGCTCGGACAAATCATTCTGATCCTCTGTCCATCTCCTCCAATTATCTTGAAAAAATCTAAAAGAAGCAAGAGAGATTGCAATCTATGGAGAAGATGCCCAAATCCAGGCAGTAGCAAACTAAAGAAGAACATGAATTTGAAAGTCAAAGATGATCTTCAGTAAAACTTTGCTGCCAGCCAGCTACCATTCACATCAGGTGTGAATTTGGAGCCCTACAAAGGACCATGTATGGAGTAGGGTAGAAGGCAGAGAAAGATGCAACGAGGATGGCACATCTCCATTTCTTGCCCTCCTTGGGCAGAGAGGACTATCTCAATTTGGGCCACATAGTAGGCCCATCTTTCTGTAATTGCTGTTAGGATCTTCAGTAAAATTCTCATTCGTTTTGGTGTCTAATTCATGTGGTGTATTGGCTATCTAATGGTATAAAAATCTCTTAGCCATAGGCAGGTTACAGTGTTACAAGTTACAATGGACCATAAGCTAAGCATGAGCCAGTAGTGTGCTCTTCTTGCTAAAAAAAGCCAACAGCTTTTAATACTGGGTTGTACTAACAGGAGTGCAAATCAAGGGAAGTGATTCTTTCACAGTAGGCAGCGCTGGTGAGGCCTCACCTGGAGTACTGTGCCTGGTTTTGGACCCCCCAACTTCAAGAAGGATGTGATCAGATTGCAAAGAGTCCATGGGAGAGCAACAAAAATAATTAGAGGCCAGGAAACATGACTTATGAGAAAAGGCTGAAAGAACTAGAACTGTTTATTCTGGAGAAGAGAAGATTGAAGGGAGATCTGATAACAGGCTTCAAATACCTGAAGGTCGATTGTAAAGAGGATGGAGATAGACTTTTCTCGGTGGCTGTAGGGAACCAGACTGGGAGCAACGGCTTCAAACTGCAGCAGAGGCAATTTTGGTTGGAGATTAGCAAGAACTTCCTATGAGGATAGTCAAGCATGGGACCAGGCTACCTAGAGAAGCTGTGAAATCTCCATCTCTGGAAATTTTCACGAATCGGTTGGACAGACACTGAAGTGTGGGATGGTTTAGTCAGGGATGGTCCTCTCCTGAACAGGAGGCTGGCCTAGGTGACCTCATGAGGTCCCTTCCAGTCCTCATTTCCTATAATCCTAAATTCTCCAAGTTTTTATTCTGCAACCATTTCTGCAACAGGAGTTTCCCAGCCGTAAAGCTCACAGTCCGACTCCTACCACAACCTTCAAAGTCTGCACTTGCCTTTGCTGTAATCACATCACTAGTTTGATATTACAAGAAACTTTGTCATGAGATGTGAATTAGTAAAAGAAAAGAGAACTCAACATAGAATATATTGACCTGTTACCCTACCAATGCAGTCACTGGAAGCACAATGAATAAGGTTATATTCACTGGAAGGTAAATGACAATGACAAAGAGCCCTTGGAGACAGCTTGTACACTGGATTCACATTCATGCAATTGCACTCAGGACAAGGAAGCTACATGGATGTAAGCCTGGGCAAAATTTGTTTCAGCCTCTGGAACATCTGCATTCTCCAGGGGTTTCACATGGAAGGGGAGGGAGATGTGTCCTAACAGCTGTGCTTACCTAAGCAAGCAGCGATTCCCTATGGAGCAGCTCCCCAAGCACCGTCCCACATCAATTTCCTGGAAAGATTTGCAAAACAAAGACAGGAAAATCACTTGTGACATCCTATTGATACACACCCAAAGGGGAACAGCATTCCAGCAAGTCCTCCTTTTGAGCAGTGTTGCTTCCTGTTGTGTATACACAAGGGGTCATTTTAACCTGTTTTCAGATAACGAATAAACTAAGAAACATTCCATTGATTTTTCCTCCCAGAAGAGGAAACTTTTTGCCTTGTACACGACGAATTACTTCAGTTGGGCATGTGACTTTGTGACAATTTGTTTTTGTCTGTGCAACCCATACTGAGTGGCCGTGTCTACATGAGCAGTTGTTGCTGTTCAGTCATTTAGTACTTACCTAACCAAGTCCTAAATGACTGCACAGTAACCAGTGTTACTGCACAGTAATGTCCCCACATGGTTTTTTTCTGATGCTGCTGTGCAGTAGCATCTTGTGTAGACACGGCCTGGGTGTAGTTATACTCACATAAAGTTGCTTATAACCATAACTCACCCTTACTATAAAGAAATAGCCTTTCTACCATTATAGCAGCATTCACACAGGAGCAGGTGTACTATTTTAACTGTAATGGTGTAATTTAAACAATACAACTCTTGATTTCAGACAGGCCCCAGGACTCTTAAAGCTGCATGCACTGGACTAACCTTAAGCCGCTCCTCTCTGTCTCCAGCTGAGTTGTATATGATTTCATAGTAGTATTCCACGTAGGAAATTCGATAGCAGGGTTCTTTCATTTCACAGTTCTCCAGAGTTTGAACCACCTCAGCACCGTTTGGGCTTTTGATCAAAACAGAGTCAAACTTTGTGGGGGCACAGAAGAGTCCATCTGGAAGAGAATGGGAGTGAAGTTTCATTTGGTTCCTGTTCCAGTGGTCATTGCACATGCAGCATTCCCGCTGGGTATCTTCACTAGGATTTCTGTGTACAGAGCAGTTGCATGATCAGGCTTATAACACCCAACATGAGTTATGAAAAGCGCTCACTTGCTATTCCAGGAGCTCTTCCCCATGATTGCAGCCTTGGACACATTTCTTTATGCCAACTCAGAACTACTCTTCTGGGTTTTATTGTTTCTCTCAGAGATTTCACGGCATGGGCAAGGTTATTTTGCCTGATGAAGAAATTATACACCCAGTGGATATACTTTGATTGCTAAAGGAATGAATCCCAAAGTCCATTTTCTAATGTTAGAAGGGGTTATGTCTGCGGAAGAATTGCAAGCCTTAGACCCAATGTGTAGCTAATAATAATAATAATAATAAAAAACTCTTGGAAAGTAATAGATGTATGGCGGAATTGCCAACAAATCTACAGAGGAATAAAGTTTGCATTTACATAGCTTATTTCATAGTGCAAGAAGCTAAAGCTTTTTCCAAAGAAAAAGGATTTTGTATTTTTGGGGAACCGGGTAGTGCTGTGTTTTGCTCAATTTCTCAGCATCTCCTCTTGGATTTGATTAGTTCAAGTCCATGCTCCCCATGTTGAATTGGGCAGCCTCACTTTACTGTGATGCTTTCAATTTAGGTCTCGGTGGTTATTTCATTGACAATGTCTTGCCTTTCCATAATGCTGTAACATTACTTCCAAAGGAAGCCACCACTGCGGTGCTCCCCCTACCAAACAAGAGCAGCCGGATGGTAGCCTAGAGTGCTATGCAATGTGAAGCAGCTTTGCAGATCCTCTGGCAGTGCCAAGTGGAGGAACCACTTTCCTATAGGAAGGTGTAGAAGTAACAGTGATGCAGTTTGCAGATAATGCTAGCACAAGATGGGGAGCAAAAAACCTGGTCAAAACCTGCAACATTTAGGAGGTTGACACAACAAAGAGAAATTCAGCACTCCTAACAGGAAGTCTGCCAGGGATGTTGGCATGCCACATGATCTGAAATGGCAGTGAAGTGCCACCATGAATAGCCAGGTGAGTTTTAACAAAGGGATTTGTTCTTTCTTGTAAGGTGTGGCATGCATTACAATGTTCCATAAGGCTCTGTTTTATCTCTTCGTCTCCCACCCCCTGCTGATCACAGGAGTATATTGAAGCAGACGCTGGCTCAACATAGACACCTACTCTTGCATCCTTCCTGGTACTGGAGAAAAGCAGACCACCTCGGAGAAAAGCAGACCACGTCCGCGCATATCTCCTGCTGATTCCTTACTCCAAGACAATCAGACTCCCATGCATGCACCATCAAGCTTTCTTTATAACATATGATTGTCCCCTTGGTAATGAACACCCAGCCATCATACATCCTCGGTGTGAGATTTCTCGTCCCCCTCCATCTCATGCAGGCTTCCCAACAGCCGTCAATAAACACATCCACTGAGACATCCGCTCCTGTCCTGTCTAAGATATTCTTCCATATTAATTCCTCCTCTCAAGATTTTTTTTAGCTTAGTTTCACCTTTTCTACTTCTCCCTACCAGCCATGCTTCATTTATTCAGTGCAGAATCCCTACCGAGTCTGCATTTAATTATGCCAGCGGCAATTTTACCGTCGCTAGAGGCGACTCAAATATTGACACTGGACCTGCTGTATCTAAGGGGAGTTTAAATGGGGTACAGGACTGTGGTAAGAAATCCCTGTGACTTTTTGAGCTGGAAAACCTCCACCCTTTCTGCAAACATCCAGCCCTGTTGGAATTAATTGAAATATGGGATCTGAAGCAACTAAAAAAAAAAAAAGCTAAAGTATCCATCAGCTAATCCTCTTTCCTCTAACTCTTTCTTTTCATGTGAGACCCAAAGGCTAGAGTTTTTCCAACAGTCTACCTTTCTTTTCTTTTCTGCATGCTACAATCATATGAAATTACCTTAATCAGCAAGATCCATCTATATATTCTCCTAGCAAATTACAACTTTTTAAATACACAACACTATGTCTCCCTCAATGTGTTGGTTAAATATAAGGACACATTGTCCTGGCTCCTAGCCACACCCCTGCTTGCCACTTGGTTCCCCCCCCCAGTCCCTTATGGATTAAGCGTCTCTTTTACACATGAAGGAAAAGAGAGCAGGTAGCCGAATGGCTTGCTTGTGATCATATATCAGGTAAGTATGAGCTGCAGGAGTCAAAAAGTCTATTTTTGGCCTGCAAGATGAAGCCCAGTTTTCATCTTCATAGTTTTTTAAGCAAGTCATTCGGACTGTGTTTCCCAAGCTGTGAAATGGGTGTAAGAATTCATTGCAATTTCAGAAGTGAATATCTCAGATCTGCTGAAAAAAAAAAGGAAAGGTGTCCTAGACCTCTTCTCAAAAATGACCTGCAATTGTAGGTGCTTAACAGCACATTCATGGAAAGGGCTGGGTTTTCTGAGGATGGGCATTCAGCACTTTCTAAAAAGTTAACCCCGTTAGCACTCAAAATCACTGGTCACTTCTGAGAAAACAGATGACAGAATAGGTGAGATTTGCAAGTCCACATCTGGTATCCCGTGAGCTAAGTTGTGTCATGCAACTGTCCAATTTGCAGGAAAAATGCTTCCATTCTGATTTAGTCCCACACAATTTAGTTTTTCTTTAGCCACATCCTGCTGCCAGACAACAAACACGCTGGACTGCTGCAGGAATCCAAAATATATACCCCGCTGTACAAACATTCACAATAGCACACAATTTGTTTCCTTTCATCCTGGCCATTAGCACTAATTTCTGTGGTCCTGGTGCATTCATAAGCTACATTAGCAGAGTGGTTCTGTCTCCCTCTTTAGTTTCTGGTCCATAAAGGAAATTTATGGACCAACAGAAGTGGTCAAAAATTCTCTGGTGGCACATTTGTTGGGAAATGCTGATTTTCAAATTATTTCAATGGGAAATGAATATACTGGCTCATTTCAGTAAGGATCAAACGATTCCTTTTGATAAAGTTGAAACATTTCATTTCAGCTTTGTCATTTTGACTTTGCTGTTGTAATAGCATACTGCAAAATAATCGTGACATAACCAAAAAGTGCAAATGCTGACTATTAAACCATTTCAACCTTATTAAAATGAAAGGTTTTGATAAGGTTCTTTGGTTGTTTATGAAAAGAAAACATTTTGCAATTTTTATTTCACTGTAAACTTGGACTTTTCTACTTTTCACTCAGATTCAGTCTGGCAGGAAGTATTGCAATGTCGCCATTCCTGCAGAATGGAAATTCTGTTTCCCAAACAACCCCATTTGTGAGCATATTACTGCTTGTTTTTACAAGAGTGGCTCGGTTAGGTCCAGCAACAGAAGGTCATGCTTTTACCACTGAAAATCCCCATTTTAATGTCCCTTCCCATGGAGTGCGAGGTAACCTGCACCCTTTTAACTTCAAAGAGCTGTGTAAACTGAATGGGGGCAAAGTGGACTTCAATAGTAACTCTTTCACTGCTGATTAGTCTAGCAGGATCATCCCTCTGCTGTACTGTGCTTATCCCCTGGTCTCAAAATAACTCCAATCAGCTGTCAAACACCAAAAGCCCCATCTGTTATAGGCTTTATTTTCAAAGCCTCATACAAGCAGTACATGATCTTGCACAGGTAGGAAAGATGGGGGCAGAGATGCAAACAGGTGCAGGCAGTTACATACTGAACTGGATGCCACCCGAGTCGGCAGGAGAAATGGAATTTGAACCCATGTGTCCTTGGATTCAGTCTCCATACTTCATCCATCTAACCACGCTTAGCACAATGTGTCTGGAGCATTATAATTTCAGACAACATGAAAAACAATATGAGAAACAATCTTCTTTAATCAAGAGTCAAACATTAAGTTCCTGGGTCACCAGTGGCATTTGAGTTGCTTATCATAACCCGGGGGGGATCCTCCTCAGCCCCTCTACTCCCGCTGCCCCACAAGATGAGCATCCCCACCATTTCCATACCTTCTACGTGGGAAGGGTTGGAGCATTTGCCAGCATCCACAGTGAACTCCAAGGGGGAGTCTGGAAAGAAGGTTTTCAGGGCTGGCAGCCGAAGACACTCCTTTGGGCTTGTGTTACATTGACAGGTCTCAATCACTTCCACTTCCTGGAACCCTTCGAACAGCAGCAGTCTCTCCACGTGAACCCTGGTAGGTTCACAAAGGGAATCCAAAGGGCAGGAACGTTCTGCTCCACTCAACAGAGGCGACTCGATCTGTCTATCCTGCAGCTGCACAGACCAGTTACAAGGAAACAGAGAAATTCCCCCTTGAAATCAGGTCACTGGAGAACCTGGCTCTATCTGAAACTCATCTTTCATTCTGGAACTAGCTTGGACCAATACAATACTTTCTTCGCCTAGCTGCTTTGGCGCTTTTGGCCTTTTTAAATTACATTTATAATAAAACCATTTATTCCAACTAATTCTCTAGCAACTAGTTGAAAAAGCATCCTAAACATATCTTTGAAAAGACAAAAACCTCCTTCTAGATGTATGGTAGGACTATGGTGAATGGTAGAACAGATGGTTGATGGTGACTCCCCATAAGCCTCCCTTGCAAAGAGTGTGGAAGGGCTCTGGCAAGGCTCTCTTGCTCCTCCCATGGGCCACGAAAAGAAGTGATAACACTCTCTTCATAATGAATGTTAACACTGGTCTACCTGAACTTCTGGTACCTGGAGGACTCCACAGGTTATAGGGGTAATGGCCAACTGCTAAGCTGTTACAAACAGTAGCGGCTGCATTACACTGTTACACAGATATTAGGGTACCTTATCTAAGCACACTTCCTTTCTCATACAGAAACAGCTATGCTAGGATAAAACACATTTATACCAGTAAATCAGCATCTTTCCCAGTGGGGAGGATATGCATATAATTAAATCAATAAAATGTGTGTAGAGAGGTCCTCAGAGGTACCACCTCTCTCTAGCTTGTTAATAAAGGACTCTTTTTCTTAGCTGAAGTGTCAAAGGCTATTTTTCACAAATGGGTTTAGAGTATCTGTATCAAAGATCCCATGATAGGATGGCAGTATGCTCCAAAAAATAAACTGGCTCTCTGGCTACTAGTTTTGCTCATACAGGCAGGAATATGTACTGGGCCTCTTCCCTTCTCCACAGAGTCATAAGGGGAAATTAACTCTCATTAATGAAAACCTAGTGCGGCGCCAGCATGGCCTAAAGTGCTCTCATCAGCGCTGGGCTGCAGAAGGTTGTTTTAAAGGATCTCAGACATCATCACACAGCAGTGGTTTTTAATCTCGTTTCATTTGCAGACCCCTAAAAAAATTCAAACGGAGGTGTGGACCCCTTTGAATTGTATGTGTGGGTACTCCCATCCTTTTGATTGATCATAATCATCTTTCAACATAGTCTGTGGGCCCCCCCCCCCC